GCCCTAGATACCATATTTTCTTTATCCAATCACCTGTTGACGGACACTTAAGCTGAGTCAATATCTTGCTTATTATGGATAGTGCTGCAATAAACATTAGAGTTCAGGTATCCCTTTGACATGCTGACTTTCTTTCCTTTGGATATGGACCCAGTAGTGTGATTGCTGGATCTGGATTGTATAATACTTCTGTTTTTAGTCTTTTGAGGAACTTCTGTTCTGTTTCCTTAACTACTGTACTAATTTACATTCCCACCAACATTGAAGAGGAGTTCCTTTTCCTCTGCATCCTCTCCAGCATTTGTTATTTTTTGCCTTTTTGATAATATTAGGCATAGTTTTTTATTGTTTTCAATGCTGCTTGACTAGATATGGGCACTTAAAACGTACTACATGCCCAGGCCTGGAGCCAGGACTCCAAATGCAAAGGGTGTACTTAGAGACACCATAGAAGAATTATTCCCTGCCTGGGCAGTTATCTACAGCAGGGCAGCTGTCCTGATTCTCATCTTTCTTTAAAGCATTTTTCCATATAGGCCTTGGCTTTGAACTTATAATGGCTTTTTGTAAAATATCAAATTTTTAAATAATTGTAATATGATTAACATGAGATAAAATGTGTAGATCTTAAGCATTCAGCTCAATGAGTTTTGACAAATGCATACCCTTGTGTATCCACATATAAAACAAGATACAGAATATTTCCTTTATCACAGAAAGTTCCCTCTTGTATCTTTCCAATAAATTTTCCCTTCATCCATCTCCAAAGCATCCATTTTCTTATTTCTGTCACTATGGATTATTTTGGTCTGTTCTTGTATTTAATTTAAAGAGAATCATATAGTAGGTATTACTTTGGATCTGGCTTCCTTCGCCTGACATAATTGTGAGAGATTCATGTGTGTCATGTATATCAGTAGTTTATTCTTTTTATTGCTGAGTATATTCTATTGTATGGATATACCATAGTTTGTTCATCATCTCCTGTTAATGGACACTTGGGTTGTTTCCAGTTGTGGCTACTATGACTAAGACTACTCTGAACATTCTCATACAACTCTTCTTGCAGATATCTGCTTATATTTCTCTTGGGTAAATTCCTAGGAGTGGAATTGCTATTCATAGGGTGCATTCATTTTTAACTTTATTAGAAACTATTGCCAATTTCTTAATGTAGTGGTGCCATTGGGTATTCTCACTAGCAAAGTTTGGGGGTGGAAGTTAAGTGTTTTTGATTATTTTTCAATTTATTTTATGTAAGAAATTTTAGAGTGGTAAATTCCAAGTGTTTAATATACTAAATTAGAAAAATAATAAGTTTTTCTTCAAAATATTTTAACATTTATTTGTACATATTTGTGGAGAACAGTATGTTGTTTCAATACATACATGTATTGCACAATGATTCACTTAGAGTAGATAGTATAGCTTTGTACCCATTAGTCCACCACTTCTCTTCCCCACCCCCACTCCCCTGGTAAATATTATTCTATTCTCTAATTCTATGAAAACCACTTTTTTTTTTTTTAGATTCCACATGTGAGTAATATCATGCAGTATTTGTCTGTTGCTGCGAAGGATAGGATATCAATTTTTTTCTTTTACAGCTGAATAGTATTCTATTATATACACCACAGTTTTTTTATCCATTCATTCCATCTCTTTGCTGTTGTGAACACTGTTGCGATGAACATGGGAGTGCAAGTGTCTTTTTGATATATTTATTTCATTTCCCTTGGGTATATACCCAGTAGTGAGATAGCTGGGTCATAAGGTGGGTCTATTTTTAGTTCTCTGAGGAATCTCCTTGCTGTTTTCCATAGTGGCTGTATCAAGAAAGCAGAATAAATCTTTAAAGAAGCCATAGTCTGAATGCTTTATCTCTCCCATCATATCCAGTGTATTTTAAACCAGATTTTTCTGGTATATAAATCAACCTATGGGTGTAGGTTACAGTTTTAGGCAGGTTTCTTTCTGTTGTGAAATTTAACTTGTATCTTAAGAGAACAAGACCCAATTCACCCCACAGTATTATCTACCCACTTATCTTTTCTGTTCACATAATAGAGGGAATACATTATACTGAAAACCATCTTGTTTTTCATTCCTGGTACTTTTGTAGCACTCTCTTGTGTGCTTCCTCACAAGGTCAGCAGATAAAGCTAGTGGAGGTATTTTTCAATATTTCACACTTCGTATTAATTTACTTAGACTCTAAACGATTTAATATCTTACTTTATTTTTTCTTTCTTAAATTCATAAAGTCCAATCATTTTAATAAGATTTTCTTGTATTTTTCATTTAATTTTAATAAGTGCAGAAAATGCACTTGATTAAACAGTAGTTATATGTGTTGTTTTAATTAAACTGTTGAATTAGGAATGAAGGACTAGATAATGAGAAACCTGACTGAGATTTTTTTCTGTAATTATTAAAGGAAAAGTGACATCACGTACAAACACACACACACACAATGTTCTTGTGAAAAAATGGTGGCCACACTTTTCAGATTATTTATTACTGATACTGCACTGCTCTCATCATTATTTCACCCCATTTATGAGAACTCAGGAATGATCTTCTAATCCAAGAGTACTTGTCACTGCAAACCTATGGATTATTTTAAAGTTTTCATTCTGAACTGACATTGACTATATCTTGAAATTAGGTAACTTGTGGTGGATTCTAAATTACAGAATCCAAAACACCATTATTTTATTTTATTTTAGGAGCAGAATTTAGTTCTTGGTGCAAGCAAACTCAAATGTAACATTCTGGATTTAAGAGCCCATATCATAAACAGATAGGATACCAGTGTTGTCTCAACTAAAACTGTGGTTAAAATATCAAATTTTTATAAAACATTTTGATCAACTATTTTCTTTTTTTGTTTTTTTGTTTTGTTTTGTTTTTTGTTTTTTTGTCTTTTTCGTGACCGGTAAGGGGATCGCAACCCACGAGCACACCGGCCTTTCCTATATAGGATCCGAACCCGCGGCGGGAGCATCGTTGGCCCCCAGCGCCACACTCTCCCGAGTGTGCCATGGGGTTGGCCCTGATCAACTATTTTCTGATGTGAACCACTTAACAGAGGTTGAAAATGTTTATGGGCTCAGTCCCCACTTGGATCAGTAGATTTGGTTCTATTTTGATAGATTCACATGCAAGGATAAATAAGAAAAAGCAGGAACTGTCTTTTTGTTGCTCCATTCTAGTAGTAGTAGTAGTAGTAGTAGTAGTAGTAGTAGTAGTAGTAGTAGTAGTAGTAGTAGTAGTAGTAGTAGTAGTAGTAGTAGTAGTAGTAGTAGTAGCAGCAGCAGCAGCAGTAGTAGCAGTAGTAGCAGCAGCAGTAGTAGTATTAGTATTAGTAGTAGTAGTTATTTTGTATCTATTAACCAACCTCTCACTATCCCTCCTCCCCCATTACCCTTCCCAGCCTCTGTTAACCACCATTCTGCTCTCTACCTCTATGTGATCAATTTTCTTAGCTTCCACATATGAGTGAGAACATGCAGTATTTTTCTGTTCTTGGCTTATTTCATTTAACATAATGTCCTCCAGGCTCATCTATGTTGCCACAAATGACAGGATTTCATTCTTTTTTATGGCTGAGTAGTAGTCCATTGAAAAAGCCATTATTCTAGAGTTTTAAATTCAAGAATATTTATATTTAATGGTAATTAAGGAAACTAGTACTTTTCAAAGTAGTTGTCAACTGCAGGGAACAATGGCTACTTATTAGTAGCAACATTTGGACTATGATAATCAAGGACAACATGCATACACAGGTACTCAGTTAAAGTGAGTTTCAGGGCTGGCCCCGTGGCGCACTCGGGAGAGTGCAGCGCTGGGAGCCCAGCGACGCTCCAGCCACGGGTTCGGATCCTATATAGGACTGCGGTGCGGGCAACACCAAGCCAAGGGTTGCGATCCCCTTACTGGTCACGAAAAAGACAAAAAAAAAAGTGAGTTTCAAAATCTGTGCATGCTGGCTTACTATTGAAATGCCAGAAACCTTAATTTTGTTACAATGTCCATACATGCTTAAGGAGAAAAAAAGTAAATATTTTATCCTCAAATTTGCCTGATAATTTTTAATGTAATATAGACATTCAATAAAAAAAAGAGAATTTTTATACAGTGAGTGTCAAAAAAATTCCTCTTTTGGACAGAAAGTAGTAACATGCCTAGTAAAAGGGGAAGGAAAGAAAAAGGAGAAAACATTTTAAATAATGAAAGGAAAATACTACCAACATATTTTGTTGTGATATCCACTAGGAAGCCTACTTCTCAAGCCCAAGTAAGCATTCAGCCTCCAAGACTATGGTAGAGTACCTTGACACCCCTCTGTTCAGAAAGATATAATACAGAAGCCATTGCTCCTGGCAGGAGTCAACAGACAGCAGCATTCATTAGGTAGTCCTCCCACTCTCTATGCAACAGTCTGTAGTGCCCTCCAGGGACTGTGCTGTCTGACCCCCTCACCTCCCTTCAGCCCAACCCCCAGGTGACAGCTTAGGTGAGAGGATCAAGATTCACACTGGGTGAGTTCAGAAGCCATCCTGGCTTATAACTTCCTATCCACAGGAGCTAATATTTCTTTTATCAACCCCATAAGCATAGTTTGCAGGATCTCCACAAGGGATATGTTTACATATAAGAGTTACTGCACTTAGACAAACCCAATATTATAGTTTCCAATCAGGTATTTATACTTCTCTCAGTCCAAATGAAATCTCCTAACCAAGGTTCATTTTTACCATAAGCAGTGTTGCTTAGCAACATAGTTACCACATACCACCTTATCTGGTTACTAAGGAAACAGAGCTACAAAGTTATCAAAAGGTCAAATTCTCGTGCAAGAAGGGTAGGGGTCATGTTAACCCATTACCCACATCTGGTCTTATCCAGAGAAATGTACAATTAAATTGAATTTATGATTTTAGATGTGGATATTGTATAATTCCCTGTTGTGATTTCTTTTTTTTTTTCTTTTCTAGAGCTAATGTACACAGTCGAACTTGCTGGAGGGCTTGGTGCTATCCTCTTGCTGCTTGTTTGTTTGGTGACCATCTACAAGTGTTACAAGATAGAAATCATGCTCTTCTACAGGAATCATTTTGGAGCTGAGGAGCTGGATGGAGGTAAGTTGAGTTCTCCCTTTCATTGTTCTTTCTGAATATTCTTATTTATTTCCTGTCTTTGCTTTATTGAGGGGAAAGAAAAGTTACCTTCATAACCACTGGTAGCACCTCTAATAATTTTTCAATGTTCAGTTTGTAAATTCATTTTTTTGGCCAGAAATATATATGTAATGCTTCGGAACCAATAGGTATTTTCCTCTGAAGGGTACAGAAAACACCTATCCTTTTTAGAATCGTATTCCAAACAGCACTCACAAATTACAAACATGGATTGCAATGCCATCAGTATTTATTTTCTCTCACCTTGTAATCAGTATTGAAAGGCTAGCTTTCCTCTTCTATAGGTGAGGAGTGTCTCATTTAATTTTGTTCTCTAGCCCAGTAGTTTGAAGTGAATCTCAATTTGTTCCTGTTTAAACTGATCAGTTATAATAAACTATACTGAATATGTTTGAATTCACCCAGCAGTCTTTTCAATCTTGTTTATTTAGCTATATTTAGATAGGCTAATTTTTATTCCAAGTGTGGACCAACAGATAGAAAAGTGTACAAGCACATTGTTTTCACAATAATACATCTAATATTTTCATTCACACTGGACAAGTAAATATTGTTTTCACAGAAATCATAATGATTATTTGCTTGTGGTCAGCCATGAATATGTATACAATCTAAGAGGAATTTGGGGTCCTTAAAACTCAGTTCCCTAAACTGCCCATTAGAGGATTTAAATTTCTTCCTTTTTGTTCATTGGAAAAAGATCACAAACACAAGATAAACTTGCAATACCAGAAGCATATGCAAACTGACAAAGAATAGTGAAGATAGATGATAAAGGTTTCTATAAAGGATATCTATAAACTTTCTTTTCATTGACTGTCACTTTTGCACTAAATGATACAAAGCAAAATAAAGCAATTCCCCACGTTGCCAAATTTCCAGGGTCCTCAGAAATAAATCCACAGGCAGAACTGTAGGTTGTCAGACTTGTGAAGAGGAGCAGTTCATTCACCCTGCCCAACACTCCTCATTTACCCTTCTCCCCTTCCCATTAGGGTGAAGTCTGAGCTGCAGCAAAACTATTTGTTTTAGTTTTTAAGTGCCAATTTACCTATTTGTTCTTTGTTTCTTGCCTATTCATACAAATTATTAGTATTTATTTTTTGCTACTGCTTCAAAGAGATGAGAAAATTGTCAATGTCAGAGCTGTTGTTGGATGAATACCAAGCAGAGTGCTAGGCGTTCTTAAAATCAGTCTTGCTAAGCCTCGCAAAAATTCTGAGGTCAATATGATAATCTCCATGTTACTGATAAGGCAACTGAGGCTCCCAGAGATTAAATAGCTTACTCAAGAAGATAACACAAATATTATTGTAAGTGTCCTAGACTGAATTTGAAAATAAGTCTATTTCCAAAGACATTATTTTATTGAACACTGAGTCCCTGTTGGGAAAATAGAATAATTTAATCAGGCTCCCCTCGCCTTAGGTTAGGTAGGGGGTGGTACAGCATTCTTTGTAAGCAAGTTGTGCATGCGTGGAGTTAGTGTGCCTGTGCGGCACTGCCATGGCTTTGCTGGTGACTGCCTCCGGCATCTGCTCTGTGCAGCCATGCTTTCCAACCTACAGCTTGCAAGGATCTGTTTGCCGGTTACCTAGCTCACAGACCTGTGTGTGAGGGGTCTGGCGACCCAGCCTGGCATGTGAGGGGTCTGGTGACCCAGCCTGGCGTGTGAAGGGTTTGTGACTGAAAGAAAGTGAGCTGAGACACTGGGTACTGATGAAGCTTTATTAAAAGAAAAGAATCTGCCAGGCTGCCCTCAAAATGGAGGACAGCACCAGGTGTAGGGTGGTAGAGCTTATATAGGGCGCCAAGGGCTGGCTGATACAATCAAGGAGGGGCATTATGCTAATATGGAAACTGCAAGACCAGGGTGGAGAATTGCACCCTTGCAGAAGCAAAAGAGTTTCTGTTTAAATCACAAGGCTTCTCCTGAAGGGAAGGTGGGAGGGGTCTGGTGCTGGAGTGGAAGACAAGGCCCGCAGCTATTTTGTGCTTATTGTGTGCACAATGGTGCCGGTCACTTCCAAGATCCATCATTCCCACCTTTTAAGTATAGGGAGAAGGGAAAAGGGGTGAAGGTCTTGTTCTTCTGAAGCTACTTCCTGCTGGAGATGGGTGAAGATATGGAAAAAGTAAAAGATTTATGTTGGTGGGTAAAACAATTAGGCAGCGGGGTATTGGTTTCGTGTGGGGAGGCTGTATTCCTTGGGGGAAGGGTCGCTGATTCTGAGGGGCTGATATCCTCAGCGCAGGAACAATACGGTGACCTTTTGGTTGGTGAAAGCCTCCACTCATTCCTGCAAGAAATTAGAGAAACACCAAAAGAGACAGGGACCAAAAAGTAGGATGAGACAAAGTTAGGGGTCCTAGTAGGGGCATAAGCCAGAGTATTCAAGTGTTTAGTGACTGGGGCCACCCCCAAGGTGTGTTTGTGTTTTGTAACCCTTTGCATTGGCGATCAATGCTTGCCTTTATATGGTTTAAGTTGTTTTGGATCACACCACACTCATTTACGTAGTAACAGCATTCCTCCCCCAAGAAAAGGCAGGTGCCTTCCTTCTCGGCTATAAGGAAGTCAAGGGCCCGGTGGTTCTGTAAAGCGACTGTTGAGAGTGAGGTGACCTGTCGCTGGAGGGAGGAGATGCTTTCTATATTTAGTTCTTATGAGAGTTTTTGATAGAATTGAGAGGCAGTAGCAAGGCCTGTTATGCCAGTCCCAGTTGCAGGAAGGATCCCTGCACCAATTAAAAAAGATACAATTAGTGTCCTACAGAAGCGGGGGCACTTCCTGTGGGGGGCAAAGTTAGTCCCAGTGCCATCCCCATCCATCCGCCTGTCTGGACAGTGATGTTGGGGATGAGCCAAATGAATATGCAAGAAATCACGTTAGGGGGCAGGCAACAGGATACATAGGAAATATTTTTCCTATGGGAAATAGGATACATAGGAAATATTTTTCGGTTTTAGGGCATGGATGAGGAGGGGGTAAGTGAGTGGTAGCATTTGGTGTTAGTGAGGCAGAGTGTGGGCAGGCCCCACACAAGGCTGACAGTCCCCGCTGAGGTGGGATTAGAGGAAAGTGAAGAGACGTTTGTGGAAACATTGCAGGCTGCATCGACAGGGAGGGGGGTGACCACGAAAAGTTTCTTGCAAAGTGGGAGACAGATGAGTCACTTGGGGAGCAGTCCGATTCGTTGAAGACTGCATCGTCCCTGCGGACCTGGAACCTCCATGTTCCAGGTAAGGGGGAGCATTGAGACAGGAGGAAAATCACAGGAAGGATGCAAAGGGAAGCGGGCCTGCAAGAGTGAGAGGATAATCACTAGGGGAAAGATCATCCTTCTGGGATTGGGGGAAGAGCAGAGGCCCTGGAGATTTTCAGTTTTGTGGGTCCTAAAATGGACAAAGTGTAAGGAGATGTTGGGTTGGGGGTTGAGTAGAGGGACCCCTCTGGTTTGGGTGTTAACAGATTCTTTGGGTAAAGTCTCAGGTGCTTGTTTTACCAAGGATAAGTGATACAAAGGGGCCTTTCCTAGTACTTTTACTACTGTGGGGGTGGCGAGAAGTGCTGTATAAGGCCCTTCCCAGCATGGTGAGAGAGGCTTTGGGATTCAGGCTTTAATATACACTTGCTGTCCCAGGCTCAGTTTAAAGTCTGGGGAGGGGTGCTAGGGAAAGGATGAGGTAATAGAAGGTTGGCCTGTTCCTAAAGAAGATCCCTAATGAGCGAAATCATAGGGAGATACTAGCCTAAACGTGATGAGCTGGAAGGGAGAGGTGTGAGAGTGAAGGGGCTACCGTACATAAGTTCGAGGGGTGCTGAGGCCTGTGGGCTTGCAGGGGGCATCCCGCAGGCGAGTGAGTGACTGGTGGATAGGCCAAAACGAGGGATGGTTTCTGAGGTGAGAGCATGCGTTACTGCTGTAGCATCCTCTGCAGTGCAGGGAAAAGCCTCAAACCAATCCGAAAAGCTATCTACTAAGGTTAGAAGATAGCGTGTCCTTTTGTGCGGAGAGTAATATAGGGCTGAAGAAGGTGTAGTAGGAGTTCATAGCCTATATGAACCAAATCATGGAAATCTAAAAGGATTTGCTCAGCTTGTGTAGTAGGGAGGACATAGTGACCGGAGAGAGTATACCAGTTGTCCTTCCTCTGTGCTCCCAGTTTTTGGAGCTGTTGTATTTCTTGGGGTGTATATTGGGGTAAGGGCATAGGGGCCATAAGAAGGACCTGAGCAGGAGAGGAAGGGTGGGGTCCTGGTGACTGAGCCGCCTGTTTTGCAGTTAGATCCACCAGTTTGTTTCCCTGGGCTATGGGGTCATTGGAGGCTTGGTGTCCTCTGCAGTGTATAACCCCAACCTCCTTTGGGAGTTGTGCAGCCTCAATAGTTTGTGTTATATTTACTACGGCATAACCCACCTGGGGGCAGGCGTGGAGGTGGTGCTCCTGTCTATGAACTGTGTAATGGGATGCTGGGAGAGGTGTGGAAAGGAATTGAGAAAGAGGTCTAAAGCCTCCATGCAATTGTGTTCTAAGGATCATGAGTGTTTGGGGATGAGAGTGCCTGGATTTTAAGGGAGGGCTAGGTTTAAAGGAGAACTGGGAGTTTTCAATGAAAGAAAAGTGAATAAGTTGTAGGCGAGAAAGGGAGAAAATTGAGTTGGCCTGCGGCTGAGAAGGTCTTGACTGTTTGTTGTCCAAAAGTTATTTTAAGGGCCAGCATAATGAAAGAAAGTGAGCCGAGATGCAGGGTACTTCTTATGCACCAAAAGCAACGGGCAGCCTGGGGCTGACCTCAAAATGGGGGGCAGCCCGGCAGACTCTTTTCCTTTAATAAAGCGTGAACAGTACCTGGCATCTCAGCTCACTTTCTTTCAGTGACTCAGTCTATAACGGGCTTGAGGGGTCTGTGAGCTCCAACCCCAGCCATAGCTCAA